TCGGGCGAGGTAGCGAAGGTAGGGGTGGAGAGGGGGAACATTCGGGTGAGATAGCAAGGTAGCGAAGGTAGGGGTGGAGAGGGGGAACATTCGGGCGAGGTAGCGAAGGTAGGGGTAGAGAGGGGGAACATTCGGGCGAGGTAGCGAAGGTAGGGGTGGAGAGGGGGAACATTCGGGCTAGGTAGCGAAGGTAGGGGTGGATATGGGGGGAACATTCGGGCAAGGTAGCGAAGGTAGGGGTGGAGAGGGGGAACATTCGGGCGAGGTAGCGAAGGTAGGGGTGGAGAGGGGGAACATTCGGGCGAGGTAGCGAAGGTAGGGATGGAGAGGGTGAACATTCGGGCGAGTAGCGAAGGTAAGTGTGGAGAGGGGGAACATTCGGACGAGGTAGCGAAGGTAGGGGTGGAGAGGGGGAACATTCGGGCTAGGTAGCGAAGGTAGGGGTGGATATGGGGGGAACATTCGGGCAAGGTAGCGAAGGTAGGGGTGGAGAGGGGGAACATTCGGGCGAGGTAGCGAAGGTAGGGGTGGAGAGGGGGAACATTCGGGCGAGGTAGCGAAGGTAGGGATGGAGAGGGTGAACATTCGGGCGAGTAGCGAAGGTAAGTGTGGAGAGGGGGAACATTCGGGCGAGGTAGCGAAGGTAGGGATGGAGAGGGTGAACATTCGGGCGAGTAGCGAAGGTAAGTGTGGAGAGGGGGAACATTCGGGCGAGGTAGCGAAGGTAGGGGTGGAGAGGGGGAACATTTGGAAAGAGTATGTAGGTATTTGTTGTTTAAATAGGATCGTTTCAAATTAAAATCCGCGAATGTCAACATAAAATAATCTGAAATTATTTTTTCAAGATGATTTTCCATAAAAAATTCTGCGAATAATTTCATCATGTGAATATTTTTTGTTTTATGTTCAGAAATGGTTAAATTAAAAATCTCGTGTGATAAACATACACAAAGATAGATCTTTAAACAAATATCTTGATTATAGTGTATATATCACACACCGTTTAAAGGTGATTTGTACAACAGTTTTAAAACACTACCTTTGTGATGACACGTTTCAAACATGTCCTTTTAACATGGCATTTATCGCAATATGTTCGAAATTTTAGTACATTGTACTAGTAAACAACATTATCACGGAAAATAGACATAGTTATGTTCGAACTCGGAGCTGAAGACTTTTTATGTCCTAGTGTTGAATAGACGTAAACTTAAACTAGAATGCAGTGATACTTTTTTACATTTTACTGAATTTTAATATTGTTGACAAACATTTCTATATTAAGTGTATCTTATTAATTGTTGCCAAGTCAATACCAATTTGTGGCTATTAATTTTTCGATTTTTCATGACGTTTATCAAAGTGTTAAATCCAGACGGTAAAAATATGTATTTGTTTTGCCTAACACAGTGCTATTTATTGCACTGGATAACCGTTGTTTCTTTTTTCAGATTTTTTTTCTGTAATTTATCTAAATAGACAATCAACTTGAACACTTGTAGGTTCCGATATTTTGTTGCATTTTGTATATGGTTATGATGGTTGTACCGAGTTCATCATTGTTTTCAGTGGCAATATTGTTGTCTTATCAAGTATTGTTATGATTTAGAGAACACTGTTAAGGATGTTAAATCTAGTTCTAAAATCGTTGCCATTTTCATCATTGAATAGGGTACATTTGTTGCTAACAAATTAATAGCTTTTTTTTCAAATAAAAAAATATCGTGTTTTTAAATATGTTTGTTTTCGAAATCTATATATGGAAATTTGTTTCCAAATGAAATACATTTGGAATATTGTATCTATAAAGGTATACTTTGTTTTCCTCTTCACAGTGCATGAAGGACACTGCCCACTTCAACATACCATTAATATTACCTGACCACAAACCCACTTGTGTATCTCTAAACAGGTCGATAGAGTACATGTACGTACATAAACCATTAGCTCTTTGGCTTGAATGGTACTATATGTACCGGCAGCTTTCCCTAAATCTTATGGATCTGCCTTTTGAATTAGTTTCTTGTATGTTTCATATAGGTGTTCAAAGATGCTTCCCTGGTCTGCATGATGATAATGTTAGCATTTTAACAAATTAATTTTAACACTACCTTCCCTTACTCTTGGGTAGAATTAGACTGGCCCTTGTCACTAGATTATCAAAACTATAAATAAAAATGAGCTTCATAATTTTTGTCTCTCAGATATATCTAATCCTAGCCAAAGATTCAAACTAAGGGGAGATAAGCTAAGGTAATAATTTAGAAGAACAATTCTTTACAAGAAAATAACTTGGGCTGGTAGTCTGTCGAGAGAAGAGCCTACCATTGATACTGCAATTTCCACCATTTCTAGTTTCTACTAACAAAGTTTGACTGTGGTTTTAGTTGTTGTATCGACGTCAGCAGTTGCACGAGACTTATAAAATGTCCTCAGCTGATCAGTTATAAAACATACCATAGTTTGTCGTCTATTTCTCTTGTGTACTGAAATAACGTTACCCGACTGTTCTTAAGTGTGAACACACGCACATTATCCTGGACACCTGTGGAATCAAACACAAGTGATTTTTGTCACAAATATGGAGGAAGAAACGATGTCCTGATGTTTTATCAGATCCAGTTTGATGGTCCATTACATCGTGGTACCATGCGTCCGCAATCCGCCATTGTTATTATGGTATGCTAAAAGCATATATCATATGCTGAATTCCTTGCCTTGACTCTCTACAGTTTTTTACTGTCTTTCACTCAGTTACTTTCCTACTAGATTGATTATAGTCCTGGTAAACTCTTTTTGTCTTGTATCCCTTAATTACAGGGATTTTTTGTTTTGTTTTATTTGGGGTTTTTTCTCTCTCTAAAGTATCACATTCCTTGAAAGACATTTGTCGAAAAGTAAACGTCAGTATAGGAGTACTTTATTCAGTATTAACGAAAAATTCGTCAGACAGGACAGCTTTGTAATTGGTATCAAGTGCTTTTGACGGATGAACTCGCCAAGCCAAGTTCACGTCCAAACGCCTCATCAGTCACATGATAAATAAAAAACAAGAAAATATTTACTATATCATAGTGTCTCTGTCTCTGTCTGTGAACACGACGTCGTTAGACAAATTTTCGATTTACAATTAAATTATGCGATTGAACTATTTTCACACTCGTATACATAATGCATAACTTATAGAGAGACTCATAGGCTGGTCCATGGCTTTCCTGAAAAATAACACCTATTTATATCATCCTTTTGGTAAAACCGCAAAGATGTGAGCCTTTAGATTAACTGATCCCCGTTAGAACTCCTGAAAACTCTAGTACCATGTGATTGACCTGTTCTTGGGTGGAGTATCACTTTATTGTGGCTATTTTGATAGATCTTGGCACACGAGCGTGCTATAATAGGCCTATATACACTTACCGGTCACAATTGATTTCCTATAGGTTAGACCATGTTACTCTTAAAGCCACCGATCTATAGGAAGATCCCGGCTCTTCCCAACCAGTTTTATCATGTTGTGGCAGAACTGGGATTTTATTCAATATTATTGAATGCAACAAAGACATTCCCAGTTCGTTTTCCCAAACATCGCAACTGACCACAAGAACCTCCCGCATGTTATTATGTGATTGACCACCAACCAGATAAAACAATTAACCAAATACCACTCTGTCACATTTACAAGAAGCATGATTTATGATAAATCGGTCCGGAACGAACACCAAATTAGATTTTAGTTTGTTAGGCCCCGTATTTCTTGTATCGGTTAATCGATTAAAACAGGAGTTGTCATAAATGTCAAGAATGTTTAGGTTAAACAATAGAATACACTTGAGTGTTAACACACGTGATCGAGACTTCAGACTACATGGAGGTAAAATAACTCACCAAGAACATAAATCGATAAAACTAATTATTTCATAAACCGCAAGGTAAACATTAATAACAGCCGTCTAATACTTTAAAATCATATATTTTTCGTGGGTAGCAAATTCCGTGGCTTTCCAAAAATATACATTTCTTAAGCGCTTGATTACGTGGGAAAATCTCTATCATAGAATTCATTTATGATGTATTTCAAACTTTATCTGTTAAACATTACTTGGACATATAAATAATAAGTAGATGTGGTTTTTTGGAATCGATTTATAGTAAACAACAAGGAAATGCCTACATGTCAACATAATCATAATCCAAACTCAAATTCTATACAACAAGGGCAAAATATGACCAAAGGAAAGATTTACACGGAGACTCCTGAAAAAGTACAAGGATAATAAGACCGGGTATTCCGGAAGAGTATGTGTCATCTGCTTCATCGACAACAACCGCCACGTAAACCTTGGTCAATCCAAGTAAGTAATGTCATGTTCCCAAATGAGAACAAAGTAAACAACGACGGACTAACGGGAAAATTAATGAGCATCAAACATGTCGCACAAAGAAATAGGATCACTCTCTATGACGACCGTAAAACTAATCATTTTCATCAAACTGCATCTTTTGAAACGCTGTGTTACGAGTAACGAGCATCAAAGACGTCCACCTTCCTATCGCACAATAGAATATATCTCAATGAGATCCCTATGACGACTGTATAACTTCTCCTTAGTTTTCCCGTCAGTTGACATCTTGCACGAAAATCGTGAACAGGGAACATGCCCTTGGATATCGAACCAACAACGACATGTAAACACCGTATAACTAGTTTGATGCTAATCTAATATGTTATGTAAAGTGGGTGTAATTTGTCAATACGGAGTGTCTACTGTCATCAATGTATATAGATTTTTTGTGTGTTATGTTTACCTATATTTCTAAATACTAAACAATGATATATACATCACATTTATAAACAAAACGTTAGTTCTTCCTAACAATGAATGGTTGTCATAAGCGGTTTCACCATTATGTAAATACATTTTCTCGAAGAAAGGGAGGATATGTGCAATTTAAGTAAAGCCTCAAGTTTTCACGTGAAAAAAACAATCAGAAACAACATGATTAATTTATAATTTAATTACATAAATGAATATTCTTTCATAAGGCAAGAAACCCATACATTGTATGATAATCAACATTTTAATACATGTTTTTAAAGTTCCTACGTTTATACGTTAGATATGAAATAATCTCAGGTTTGAGGATCATTAAAAAATTACGTCTAAGGAGTTCAGACGCCAACAATGCATTGGCGTCTCGTTCGAACTCTGAACAGTGACGAAGTTCCGCTGTGACCTTTACATTAGAGTATTTAGTTATTGACATGGGATGTTCTGTTGTTATCCGCCATTAAAATGTCACGTGATCCTGCCAAATAGCTCGGTGACATCATCTACTGAACATTATTACACTTGCCAATACAGTTTTTATCGTAAAATAAATAAAGCTGCACGTATTTAACCTAATAAATGTCTATAAACACAAAATGTAACTATCAGCTTAAAGGACAATGACGGAGCGCAACGATAAAACAAATTTAGCGCAGTGCGTTGTTTCCAATTTTGCTGTAACCTTAAACGTATATGTCAGAGTGTAAACAACAGCTTATACTCCACAGTTTAAACTAGTGTCTTATCCAAGGCGAGACTCCACGGTCCCATAACATGTGCTACAGCGCAGAGTCACTTATCGCCCCGTCATTGGGGATCCCTCACGTCCTTGAGAGTAATGTCCCACTACCAAGGGTTTTAGATAAGGCGCTTCAATGAGCAGTTTGCCACTGTCTGAGAAGAAAGCCTTCACAGCTGTTGGTTCGACTGTGTCAGGTAGACTGATTTCTCGATTTAGTTCTTTTGTAGATGTCCTTGACCCGATTCTTTCTTCCCGTCGGGCGCTGATGATCAATTTCTGGTCAACTGTTTTAATTGTTAATTCTTCAGGGCTAAAATCTTCAATATCAATTTCTACTCTGTATTTGCGTTCCCCGTCCGTATTGGCGGGGGAACCGGAGCTGCTTCGCGTATCAAATTTGGAGGAGGATGACGACACGTTACTCGTTGAGAATGTTTGTGGGGAAAATGGCATTGAATGAGCGGGATTTACTGTTCCCATCGGTGGCGTGCCTGTGTTGAATGACTGTACAGCTCCTTTTGGGGACATGAATGTCTTGAAGGTAGATGTATGTGTTGTTGGATTTGTGCCACTAGAGGGCGCTGGTGGCGGAGCAGGCGCAGCAGCCGCAACGGAAGGTGTTGCTGTAGGAATGATCCTCTGAGCAGAGCCTCGGTTGTCAGTTATGGGAGCATATTGAGGGGTCGGAAGGGGAGCTTCCACCGTCAAGATACCGTCGGACGATATGGTACAACCAAGGGACATAGGATCTACTTCCCGAGGAATATTCACTTCTCGGCTGAACTCGCGACATACTGATTTTCCTTCATTCTTTTCCTCGTGTTTGGCGTTCACAATTAATTTATCGGCGTCCATTTTCACATTGACTTCGTCAGGTTTGTAATCCTTCACGTTAAACACAGCACGATACACTGGTTGGCCGTTCTGATCCTTGTCTATGGTTGTCCGCGCGTCCGACGAAGTCCGGCTGTCTGCTATCCCAAGGCGATCGGTCATCGACTCCAGTTTATTATCGTCTGGCTTCATATGGAAGAAATCCGTTCGCATGCTGTCTATTTCGCTCTCCCATTCCTTTCGGCGACGTTCCATGTCTTTCTCCATATCCTCCCATATCTTGCTCTGTCTTTCCTCGAAACTGAGATTGTCTTGGTGTATAGGAATTCTGTGAGCCATACCCCGACGTCTTAAGTTACCCAGCAAATCTGAAAGTATAAAACATAAACTATGATTATACAATGTAGAACAGAATCTATGTCTATTCTGTCGAGTAACAGGAACTATAATGACACAGAGGTCTGTGAGTCCATTTAGTATGGTTTTTAAATTACCACAAACCACGTGAACAGTGATATATTGTTCTTTTGTACCAAACAAGTCAACAGTCCATCGGCTGTGAATCAGATTACAATATTTATTGAGCCACCATCCCAAAATTACTTTCGGAGGATTTTCTAGTTTTCATACAATATTTCGGGAGTTTGTTCGACTCGAACACAAAGTGCATATTTGACAGGTAGACCAAAATCTATCCATTAAAAGCGGAAATTCTGGATGTACTTTCATATATGGACCATGCACTCTGGTCAGACATTGGCTATCAAACTGTCTAACTGCAGTACATTTAGTATATATATGAAATGTATGACTATGTAACATTTACGACAACGCCGCGCGCCATGTTATCTTTTCATGAGACTTTCAGGACCCGCGTGCTTGTATTCTGATTACCAAACTCGTCACTTCAAGGTTAAGACCGCAGTTTACCATAATCTCGATGGACAGGTACGCGTACGATACTTGCATATTCCATGTACAAATGTAACCCCCTCCTACGACCAAGACAACCTGCCAACCATATGTCATGTCACATCGTCACTCGAGCAAATGATAGCAGTGAAACTACCTAGGGGGTGGGCGGTAATCTTTACCACAAACACAGACCAATATAACCAGACATTAGTTCCCGCATGGTCAACTTTACGTTGATAAAACAAGGTGAACAGAATACACTTTAACACTTCCTTCTCTAATTCTTTAAAAACGATTCTGTGTAACATGTCCTTATGTGAAACCATTACTGCTGTGTTGATGAACTATCTGTTAAGTTACCACAATATATACACCTGCTATCGTCTTGTAAAGCTGCTAAGCTTTACACTGTGCACGTTGCTATTATTAAAGGTATGTTTTTAACATAGACGGAACGATAAACCATATTTACTTTGAGGTATTTTAGTGATCAACTTGATGGGATCCTTCTGTGTAAATAGCAAACTTTCTGAAGTAGAAAATCGCACCAATAAAACTCTATAGGATTCTGGTTTACGTATATTACAGTCTTCAGAGCTAACAAGAGGAGGCTTATACACAGCGTATATAGAAAGATCAGTAAATACACACAAGAACTAGGGTGTTGTTTACTTGTTTGAATACTAGTTATCCTTACCCTCGAAGTGTTAAGTGAATACTGCCCCATTCAATACACCCCTCAACACCCACACACACACACACACACACACACACACACACACATCCCCCACCCCCTAACCCCCACCCCACCCCCTACACACCTACACGCGCTAAAGCCACCCACCTACAACTGGACCTACACCATAATACCGCCCCGCCCTCTATTCAACCAACTTTTTATTTTGGTTAGAATATACTAACCTAAGTTTAGTCTTTTCATTCGTCAATCTTCCAACTTTCATTCACAAAATTCCTCACTACTCATACCGCACAAACATTCTATTCTAACCGTCCTTACTCCCCTCTTTTCCTCCCCCTCCACCTCCCTTGCCCGAACACACGGATCGATTTTTGGCTTCGTCAGTTTCACGGTAATTATGACAATATCGTTCATTCGTCAGTACATTTGTCGTATATGGGATTTGATGTCCATCATAACCCCAAAGGTACTTGATGCCGCTACATGTTCACTTTCTATAATCCTTTATCAGTGAGTTATCACTGCAGACTTACATCGACCTTGAACTTTAAGTTATATCCTTAAGGTACTCGTGAATACACACTTAATTACAGTTACTTTTAGGTTTACAAAGATAGTACATATTATAAAGAATTTACACATAACATACACACTACATTTTCACAGTTATGTATATAGTACTATACAACTTACGTGTTTACAGCTTTCACCAGAAATATATATACTGCCTCAAGCTCGTGTAAAATCGGACCTCGGAATGTTGTGAACAGATGTAGCTAGACAGGTCTACATACAAGTACCCAATAATCTTTCTTGAAAGGTGGACCGATCATCACCTGTGTAACTGTGTAAAAACCATCCCGTTATAACTGTATCAAATTCACTCAGTCATGACCTTTACAGCAGCACAAGGCTAACACATACCATACACACAAATCAACAACTCACCTGTATGTATAGGTTTGAAGTGACTTTTCATCCCAAACTCCTTCTCCCGAGGCCAGTTTCGTGTCGACATTGAGAAATGGTTGCGCCGATATATGAATCAGCAGTACTATTTTTTAGCATGTATATTTTGTTGATACAATAACCTGTTGTTTCAACACCGATCCTAAACTTAAATAATGGGCACAGTCTATTGTGAACTTTAAAAAAAAGAAGCAAGTCTGAATTTGCAGTCTGAGTAACCTGGGTAGGTTTTCTCACACACAAGAGCCTGTGTTATGAAACAGCCGCCCAGTCTGAACAACTGTCCAGCATGGAGATCGATATCATGTTAATGTAATCCTGATCGATATAACAATACACACACATGTACATTTGTGCACCCGTGTGTTGTTGTTACCGTAACAGCTATAATGTATTTACAGTTCTATAGACATACTCTCTTACCTGAGGACTTTCATCATTACTTGTATAAATAATGATGTTCGGGGTTCGTATTTAAACAAATAGCTAGACATTTCATTCATCTGCCCTCCTCCATTAATGCCCCCAAGACCTCCAACTCAACCCTCTCACAAAGTAAAGCACACAGTTTATATATATACACTCACACGATAACACCCGCACACACTCCTGCATGTGCACACATCCGTATCATTCCAAAACTGCAACAAATACACGGACGTTCGTATCTAATCTAATTTCTCTCTGCCAGCTCTAATCACCTTTATCCAGCAAAAGCAAAAACAAAAAAACAACAACGTTCTGAACGTTATGTTCTATTTTCTAAACAACAATAATACACCTAATACATGTTTTCTACTCTCCCCCCTCCCCCCAACAAGATACATGTATGTGCATAGTCCCGACCCTCCGGTATGCAATGGTATGTATCATTATCTAACAATGTACGGTATTCTATATAGTTCTGCACGACCACATTAAAATTTTTGAAACATGTCCAGCACTTTTATACCAAACTGTAATTTCGTCCGTTGTTTACCAAAATTTCGACCCGGACTTGACAAGCTTCGCTAGCCTCCATGACAGTCAATTTTAGCACGAGATCAGAACATACATATGTAACATCCCGCCGATCAGAAAAATCAATACTTACATTATACGGTTGCCTTCTGCGCGTGTGATGGTCTGGAGGCTCTGTCCGATACAATCCCACTCAGTACACTAATATATATGCACCTTCCTTGAATTGCAGAATATTCTGGAAACCCCAAGAGCGTTATATCATCCGATAGGTATTCATGTACACAGAAGCCGTAGCGCACGCGCTCACTTGTACACAGACTCAGCCACTCTGTTGGTGCCGATCTAGCTAGCGGCAAATGTTGTGAAACGTTTCTGATAAATTTGTTGAGCAGGGAGATAAAGTGACGATCATATTTCAGAGGTAGAGGTATAGTGGCATACCGCGCGTGCTCAAGCCTCATCCCGGGTTGTCAGAGGCGATTCTGTCAGCCTTGGGGGATAAATGGTCCTGTCACTCGCACTGTTTGTTAAACAGTGGACATATTCGGACAACATAAGTCATCGTTAGGAACTGTACCAACATATTCAGATTAATAAGTGGAATGCAAAGATAACTTCAGGTGCGTTCCAAAACAGATACTTGCATTTCATTTTTAAGGGCATTGTCCAAACTAGAAACCCTAATTACTGTGCACCATAAACAGAAGATATCCTAGTAACTGTATAGTGTTCTCAATAAAACTAATACAGAAATAACTGTATACTAAACACTAGATATCCTACTTACTGCACAGTAAACACTAGATATCCTACTTACTGTACACTTAACACAAGATATCCTACTTACTGTACAGTAAACACTAGATATCCTACTTACTGTACACTTAACACTAGATATCCTACTTACTGTACAGTAAACACGAGATATCCTACCTACTGTACAGTAAACACTAGATATCCTACTTACTGCACAGTAAACACTAGATATCCTACTTACTGTACAGTAAACAATAGATATCCTACTTACTGTACACTTAACACTAGATATCCTACTTACTGTACACTTAACACTAGATATCCTACTTACTGCACAGTAAACACGAGATATCCTACTTACTGTACAGTAAACACTAGATATCCTACTTACTGTACAGTTAACACTAGATATCCTACTTACTGTACAGTTAACACTAGATATCCTACTTACTGTACAGTAAACACGAGATATCCTACTTACTGTACAGTAAACACGAGATATCCTACTTACTGTACAGTAAACACTAGATATCCTACTTACTGTACACTTAACACTAGATATCCTACTTACTGCACAGTAAACACTAGATATCCTACTTACTGTACACTTAGCACTAGATGTCCTACTTACTGTACACTTAGCACTAGATATCCTACTAAATGTACAGTAAATACTAGATATTCTACTCACTATATAGTAAATAAGAACTTCTCACTGTAGAGTCTACAGTCTACACTAGGTATTCTACTCATGAACATTATACGACATAGATATCCTGTTTATTGTACAGAATACCTGTTCTCAGTAGATATCCTACTGATCGAACAGCGTACAAATATATTCCACTCAAAGTACGGCGTTAACAATCGGTACAACACAATTTATTTCAACTGGCATTATTTTCTTACAATACAATACGCCAGAAAGAAAGAACGACATGTCTCTAACGTACGGCTGAAGTGATGAAAATAACAATGAGATTAGTCAGATTCTGTCTTGAATGACGCACATGACATTTTTGTTATCGTTTTTGTTTGGAAAGCCTGTGAAACGCCGATTATGATCAAAATATTTCTATCGAAACTTCCATAACATTCGGTCATACTCTACTATATGAAACTGTTTTTTATCGTTCAGTGAGTGCCAAAAAACATCGTTTGTTACAATGTATGAAAATATTCCGAGGGCGTATCTGATGATAAAACAGAGGTATTTCGGGGGCGAGTCTGATCATTCTGAAGGAACGACACGCGATATAAAACAAACATTTATTTAAAATGCTGGTATTTAGATCAGGTAGACATGGTTGAATCAAATTTGAGAATTTCTTTAGAGATGTACAGCTGCAGTCTAGGACCATTTAAAAAATATGTACATAGTAGTAAGTTGTAGAGTGTACAGGTACGTTTTACTTGCATGGTAGTTAACATATTGTACTACAAGACAGTAAGTTACAGGTACAAGTGTCAGTTGTAAGTACAAAATGCCAAGTAAGACGTACAAACAGGATGTAAAATTGATCTACATTTATTGGGAGTTTTAGTTTTTATGTTGCTTTTTAACTGTGATGACAATGGAGATTTTATTTTCACTATTTTTATTTTTATTTCTACGTCAGCCATTCCTGCTACCCCAACCCCATGAAGTTTACATGTCGCAGCTGATTCGATAGTCAAAAATTAAAATTTCGGAACGAGATTTTAAAAATCGCATATCAAATGAAAACTAATTGAAAAAATCGTAATCACATAAATCAGAAAGGTAACAATTTGACCAAATATGGAGAACAAATTAAATGTAGGCAGCCATTCTGTTGCTTTATTTTCAGTTCCTGACATAAAGTCATTGTTCATATTCTGACATCACAGTCGATTTTTTTTTTACTGAATTCTGAGTTACTGATACGCAAAAATATCACATGGCCGAATTCACTGGATAACAGATAAAGGGTATACTGGATTAATACATGTATATTTGAAATTGACCTTAATACACCACTATGGAAAATGTTTCTTTTGCCCTACAAATCCATTCACATGTAACGCATCCCCTTCATAATGATATATATTGCGGTAAATAAATTCGTTCGTTATCGTTCTATGCCCAATTCAAATATATAAACTCAGTACATGATGTTTATTTCGTAAATATTTCACATATAAAGTGATGGTTTTAGTTGAGTAGTAGATTTTTTTATCGGCCATTTAAAAACGAATTATTTTCAATCTTTTCATCTGAAGAGTGGATGATATCAAACTGAACCACGTTCAAATGACTTCACTAAACATTTTCTACTCGATTGATAAATCACAGCAGAGGCCTAGTAGACCATCATTTCACAATTAGATATATTACATCAGTGTTTCATATGACGTCACCAACGTTAGCAAAGAGTTTTGTCTCCTACATAAAATCAGTTTTAATAACGGACGTTAAACCATTCAAACTGATATACTGTTAACATTCTAATTACAAACATTTGAATCGTCATCTCTTTAATTTCGTTCCCGATTTGAACCTAGTCACCCGTCTATATATAGCCCTGGCTGTGTGACAAGGACGTTTAAATTAGAGTGTACAGATATATTAACCTATTATGAATGTCTATATTTTGAGGTCAGTGATTGCAAGTGAACGAACAATATAAGTAGTCATGTGTTTTTAAAGTACTGGCGATAACTGTTGTTGATAAAGAGCGGAAGTTTTGTATGTGATTAACGAGAATTATGTCCCCTACAAAGTATTCAGCTTTGAATAGAATATTTCTTTAACAGTAGAAACGTGTTTAGATGTGATCCACGAACTCGCCGTATACTGAGAAGTGTAATATCGTATATACAACACACGAAGAGTGACGACAGAATAATACAGTGTACACGTATTGAAAGCTTTGATATATGAATCAATTAAGCCGACCTTTTCTCTTCCATATATTTCTTGGTCTAAAAGAGAGCATCCGTTGTGCTTCTCTACGTGAACATCTCGGAAACAGGTGTCATGAAAAACTTCAAAATCACTTTCAAATAATAGCGAGCGCAGCGACGGCTTTATGATATTGTGTATGGTGATTCAACAACTTTATCAACAAGCATAAGGCGTAATGTTATAAACCTTTGGTTGGTCCCTACTTTCAGCGAGTGGGGTATTAACACCAACGGTACCTGCCTTCGGCGGGAAAGGGGTTAACACCTAGGGTACCTGCCTTCGGCGGGAAGGGGATTAACACCTAGAGTACCTGCCTTCGGCGGGAAGGGAATTAACTCCTAGGATACCTGCATTCGGCGGGAAGGTGATTAACACCTAGAGTACCTGCCTTCGGCGGGAAGGGTATTAACACCTAGGATACCTGCATTCGGCGGGAAGGTGATTAACACCTAGAGTACCTGCCTTCGGCGGGAAGGGAATTAACTCCTAGGATATCTACCTCCGGCCGGAAGGGGATTAACTCCTAGGGTACTTGCCTTCGGCGGGAAGGGGGTTAACTCCAAGTGGCGGGAAGGGGGTTAACTCCAAGGGTACCTACTTTCGGCGGGAAGGGAATTAACTCCTAGGGTACCTGCCTTCGACGGGAAGGGGATTAACTCCTAGGGTACCTGCCTTCGACGGAAAGGGGATTAACTCCTAGGGTACCTGCTTTCGACGGGAAGGGGATTAACTCCTAGGGTAACTAGTTTCGGCAATAAGGCGAATAACTCCAAAGGAACCTGCTTTCGGTGGGTAAGGAATTAACTTCTAGGGTACCTACATTCGGCAGGTATGGGATAAACTGCGATGGTACCTACATTCGGCGGGTAGGGGATTAACTCCTAGGGTACCTTCTTTCGGCGGGAAGCTGACAGGGAGATGAAGATAGATGGCGGACATACTCCACTATTGACGGATATATTAGTGGGGGGGTGAAAACAGTAAATTTATTTTTAAAATATCCGTTAAAATCCATTTCCGTGCTATTTATGATTTTTTTCGGGAGATATGATGAAGTTTTCCCAGACAATGACGTTAAGACTTTTGAGGAATTTGATTGGAATGTCCAGGGTCTGGACTGATGACTTACCAGTTCGGAAGCAGACTGTGTAAAAGGCTTGTGTAGTTTTGTATGTACTGTCTGATAAAACATAAAGCAAGCTGATCAGATTTGTGGATAAAAAATGCCCCGGATGTATTGTTGACGATCCAAGTCAGCATAAACATGACTGTCTTATGGACAGCGCGGAGGACAAACTACTGAAAACTATTGAGGAGTGTTTTGATTCACTGGATCACATGAATATGGTTATTAGATGGACCCTGTATATCGGCTATTTTGTCATTAGAAAGTCTATAGTCGCATCCTATATATACACTGAAGTATAACTGTATGAATTGGCTAAGAGCATCGTACGAAACGGAGGAATGAAAAGCAAAGACGTTTGACATTGTGTCAGGTAAGGTATTGGCCAATAGTGATTCTATCAAAGATCTATGGATAGTTATAAATAAAACTTCTACACTGTTTATTTGTTACTTATTTGCACGAGACCGGTAATAA